ACATCATCAAACAAAAATTAGCCCCCATTTCTCAACAAGGCCTGCAGATACCACCATCATATCATTAACAATACTTGGTCTTTTGGTATTATCCTATAACATACTGTAACAGCAGACCTAAAAAAAATGCTGTTGGATCAGATTCAATTTTCTGAGAAACAAAGTTTCAGGTATATCGTCAGCTCTCCCTTCCTGAGTTTCTCATGCACAACAGGAGTAAAAGGAGAAATCACTTCATATGCCCATACATCTAACAATAAACTATTTTTATATTTCCTTTTCTTTCTGTATGGATCACATATCCACAAGGGCTAATATATCATGTCCCTTGAGGTTACATTTCTGTCTGCAGTTCTAAAGTGTTATTTCCACTGTGCTTCAGTTCTACTGGTATAAATCACAACCATGTATAATGTACTTAATCCTTACTTTTTAAATAAACCATTTAAAATGTATTCACTTTTGTGTGGAGAAAGGTATATAGATTTTTGACTTCCGAATTCTCTGAGCTGAGATTTCTGTGTTTATTTTTTTCACATTTCTGCCTATTTTGGTTGCAGCTGGGAACATTACTGGACGCCAATATATCAGAGAAGAAAAAACTATTCTTGTGGTCCCACAGACCACAAAATCTCCAAGATAAGCTCTCTTCACAATATTTCCAGGCAACTGGGGTGGAAACAAAGAAAAACCTTCTCGTTTCCAGCTTAAGCTTGGCCCATGTGAGACACTCTGGTTTCAGTGCCCGGTTTGCGACTGGTATGGTGGCCAGAGGCACTGGAAACCACCATCGAGAAAAATAAGCCAGCATCTTCTGAAGTGCTAGCCCCGAGCCTGTGCTTTGCCTCCACCTTTTGAGGTTCCACCTGAATTTACTTCCGAGCACCCTCCTCTCTCTGATCTTGTCCGTTTTGCCTGAAGAAAGCTCGACCCTGTGCCCTGAAGCTCCACGAAAGCCTTGCTCTGACCACCACCATAAAATCCCAGCGTATGAGCGGTGCCGAACACCGGTCAGCAGTTCAGCAGCCCCTCGCCACCCCCAGACATCCCGAACCATCCTTGTATCAGAGACTTCTTCTTCAAATACTTCTTTTAACTTTACCTTCCCAGTTCCTAAGCCTCCAGATTGTCTTTTGAGATGAAGACTGCCTGCGTATCTCTCTCTGCCTGCCTCTCCCCATACGTATGATCAATTGGCACGTCTGGAGGGAGGCAGGGGATTCATCTTTTCAAATGCGTCCGACACCTGGTAGTAAAGCCATTTAGAGCCCAAGCCCAAAGCTGGTTCCCTTGAACTAAAATAAATAAAGGCTCTTCCCACATTGCTGAGCAAGTCTGTGGGTAAATAGTGACCCCAAGAGCTGTGGCCGCGCTGCTGTGAACAGGGATGTATCAAACAGATGCTGTTTGAGGAGCAAGAAACAACGGAGTCCTTAAAGCTTTGGAAAGTGGAAAAAGAGTCCAGCGAGGAGGATGTGGCATTTCCTTGGAATGAGAAAACTAACAAACATGGGAGGTGCCGAAAATAAAAGGGAATGAAGAGCGCTCTGCACCTGTCTGCAGCACGGCTCGTCTTACAGCCCCCGCCGCCTTGCTTCCCCAGAGCTAAAGGGATCGCTTACCCAAACGGCACGCCCCGCACCGCCGTCGGTATTTTAGGAGAACGACGCTGCGGATCAGACGTGCGGGCAGCGGCAGGGATGGCCAACCCTGCCTGCGCTCCCTTGGAGAGGCTGGGCTCTGTCTGGCCGTGCGGGATCCTGTCTCCTTCTTCATGCCCATGGGAGTCTATTAAAAAAAAAAAGTTACAAACCCAACCAACACACACACACGCGTTTTACTTTTGCCTTCAGTGACAGCAGGATTTCAGCCCCAGAATTAGGGAGCTTTTGAGGGGTGCCATTGGCGATACATCCTGACCGTGCTCGCGGTGGTCTCACCACACCACGGCAACGCAGGCTCCGGAGCTCCCATTTGAGGAAAGCCGTTTGCTGAAAATGCATCTGAGAGCAGACCAGGTGCAATCTCCTCTGCTCTGGGTTATTCTCACCTGGGAAGGGTCTTCTGCCGAACATCATTCTGGCAGAAGGGAACCACAGAATTTGGTTAATCTGGTTGTGGTAAATACTGAGGCTCGTCTGGAAGAAATATAGAAAAGTGCAAGTGCTGAGGAGCAGAGCCAAGCCAACATCTCTGCTAGGGAAGAAATAACGCAACACTTGGTCTTGAGGCACCTCCTTTAGCATTTTCTCCAGTAGAGAAACATAATTGTGTCTCTCACTCATTGCTGCTAAAGTGCAACTAATTTCAGCCCTCCCTGCTTCTCAACAGTTCCCTATTAATAGTCTGTTTATATTTCATGTGATACTGATTTTTAAATGTGAATAACTTGCCAGCTGACACAGAGAGACTGCAGGAACCATTCCTAGAGGTTTAGGTATTGTGGTCTTCTGGATGTGCAGAAAAATTCTGAGGTCCCTTAGTCCTCTGCTCCTCCAGAAATCAGTTTTGCTTCTGCATTTGTCAGATGCCCACCTGGCCCACAGAGCCCACCAGCCGCCCAGGGAGGGCAACTTTGCCTCCACGCTGGGACAGAACTTCCCAGGTTGGGGATGGGGACAGAGGCTCAGCCCATGGCCAGAGGAGCCTTTTGGCTCTCGCCGCAGCAGTTGCAGGGGCTGCAAGTGGCGATCACCAAATACTTGCCAGTAGTCCCCAAAAATACACGGGGCCTGTGCTGGGAGGAGGAGGAGGCAGCAACGCCCTTGTGATGCAGCTACATCAGCCCATGGGGAGCAATAACCCCACAAAATAGTTTCTTTCCCAGGGAGCGGTGGCTCTAGGTCACTTTTTGGGAGCTGGGGACAATGTTTCACCTCAGCTGCAGCAATGTGAGTTTTCAGTCTCCGGGAAAGGCACTGCTGCTCACGTCGAAGCTCATCGCAGGTCGTTCACATGCCCAGCTCTGCTCTGCAGGGGAGAGGAGGGGAGGGAAGGATGAATTTTTCCCATCTGATTTCACTTAAGTTGTTTCCTGGATATTATTAAGAAACTCAAAAGAAAGCCAAACCTGAGGAACTTATCCAGATTGGAGGATGCAAATGAGACCAAAAGCGTGATTCTTGCCAACACTGGAAGAGACATAAAGACCAACACCAACAAAAAAATTAATGTGTTCCCACCCCTGCAGTCCTCGTAGGTTGTAATTAGTCTAAAGCATGATCATTAGCACTTGCTGCCTCAGCAACCAGAACCTTGCTTTGTGCCCACATTTGCAAACACACCTTCGCTTTCCTCCGCTCTACTTGCAGAAGACCTGTGGAGTTTGTAGCATCAAGGAAGCAAAGTCAGGATGCAGCTCCTAAGATCGACTGATGTCTAGTGAAATTTAACAAGAGACTACTTCAAAAGAAAAGGCATTACATTTTTAATGCATTCCTTTTCTCATTTAAAGTCTATTCCCTTTAGGCTTTCCGACTTGCCTGAGAACTCTTGGTTCCGGTTTAAATATTTCTCCCAGCCCCAACCCAGCATATCATGGTCCTACGCAAGGCTGTGAGCAGCTTCCTTCAGCCGTGCCCGTGGTCCCTGGTCCCTGCCTTGCCCCATGTCCCCGTTGCCCTCCCCAGTCGCCTTCCCCTCCCATTTTGCACCACGAACCTTCCCTCCTTCCCACGGCTCCCACCTCTCCAGCAGGACCGAGGCACCAGATGCTGTACCGGGTTCGGACACGTCACCCAGCTCCCCAGGGGTGTCTAAGCCAGCCCTGTCACCCATCACGCAGAGTAATGTTAACCCCTTTAAGTCATATTTCAGTTACAGTTAATTTGGATCAGTATTTTTTAACTTTTTCTTTATTTTCTCTCCCTTTCCCATGCTCCCCTTTCACCTTAACTCCTTGCTTCAGACTGTCCTCATTAAGTTAAGCTGACACCTCTGCACCTCTGTTTTGACATCAAATTGGGCTGTTCATAAAACAGGACCGGAGTAGCTTTGACATTATCTTGACATGATAACATGGTATTTGCAGTTTTCCATTGGCTTTCTTTTAACCATTCCTTTGACATTCAGCTACTGTCACTCTCCTCATTTTGACATCGCAATTGTAATGTCAGCTCCACAGTGGCCTCTGCATCGACGTTATCATCAAATTAGCTTTACAATCAGATGAAATGTCAAAAGGAAGGAGAGCAGTTGGCCCCAGCCCTGGCAATCTGGGTTCAGGGCAACAGAAGTCACTTCTGAAAGAAGGAAAGGGTGTGCCGGGCGAGCACCGGAGTTACCACACGCATCAAGGCAAGCCTGGATGGTGGGAAAGCAAGCGAGCACTCGACAGGTTTTGCATAAGGAAAAAATAGGCAAAAGGCACAAAAAAAAATATCAAACCCAGAAATTACTCAGAATACTTCAGGTTAATTAAAAAATAGTTCTAATAAAAATAAACAATAAATAAGTTTGTTTATTTTGCCACTTTCTTCGCGCCGCAGCGCTTGGCTCTGCAGGGACGTCCAGCTCTGAGCTCCTCGCAGAGGCCGCTGCGAGCTGAAGGCGTGGGCGTGCAGTTTGTGGGCTCGGGGCTATTAAACTATTTAGGATCAGACTGAACTCAGGCCCGACGCTATTATAAACACAGATGTTTTTATGACCTAGCTGAAAAGTTAATCATCCTATTAATGCCTATTTCTGGGCATAGCACAAGTGAAGAGAATGCAGCCTTTGAACGGCAGCCGTAGAGACCGTGAGCGAGCGCCTGCCCGCCCG